TCTTTGAGAGAGAGAGACAGAGACAGAGCATGAAAGGAGGAGGGACAGAGAGAGAGGGAGACACAAAATCTGAAGCAGGCTCCAGGCTCCCAGCTGTCAGCACAGAGCCCGATGCGGGGCTCGAACTCACAAGCTGTGAGATCATGACTGAGCCGAAGTCAGACGCTCCACCGACTGAGCCACCCAGGCACCCCTCCCCCATCATTTTTAAGGCTTGCCAAATGTTGGGCATACCTGATGCAAATTTGGTTAAGTCAAGGTTACTTTCAAGAACTTGCCATTTTTCTCCCTAGAGAGAAAATACATGAATTGACTATAATAAAAAGTGCTCCAATAAATTATGTTATAATAAAGGTGCTGGAATTCAGATGTGAATGACGGACACAATGAGGTCCACCTGGAAGAGGGAAGAAGACTTCACACTTGAGCCAACATCTTTGTGGTTATGGTGGTATTAAGGAGGTACCCTCTCGGAGGCAGTTTGGTTAGTAGGGTGCATGTATGTGCGCGCGCGCGCGTGTGTGTGTGTGTGTGTCTGTCTGTCTGGGTGGATTAGGGAAGTCCAGGTAGAGTCAGCACAAGTAGGAACATCTTGGAAAAAGACTTCCTCTTTGGTAACAGATAGGTCTGTGTTTGAAATCCAGCTCTCCCCTCTACTCGTTATGGGCAAATAATTTGTCTATTCAAAAAACTTGAAGGGTTGTTGTGAGGTTGTTAGAAAACACATACCCAGAATGGTAGTGATTTACATGAGAAGGAAAGGTCTTACTTATACAAGTGTATGTGTTTGAATTACATCACTGTGACCTCTCTTGTTTTACAGTGGATTTTCAGTGTCTTGATTGCGGGGTGTCGGTGTTGGTGATGTGAGTTCCCCAAGGGTGAGGAATACACAGGTTTTCCCACAGGGCCTAGGATAGGACTCTGCTCTCTGGATGGGGAAAGAAGCAATTAAGAATACCAGGCCCAGGCCCTTTCTTTTGTGAAGAATAGGAAAGACTGTTTTCACCAGGAAGTTGGAGTCACTATTTAAGAGATGCCTAGAACTGTCATGTGCTTTTAGGTTTCTCGGTTTTGCCTGGTTGCAGATTGAAAGTATCAGAATGAGTAACTGTGCATGTTAACTTACTTAGTTTAAAACATGTTGAATTAAGGTGCTCAGAGTTTCGACAGTGAGCAGGATGATGGTTGTTCTGTTGGCAAATATTAGCTTTAGTGTGTCCCTGCCTGGGAATTGTATGGGGTGGGGTGCACTGTTAAGGATCCTCTGGGGTGACGACCATTCAGGTGGAAGGAGGCATAATAAGTGATGTAGATCTTTGCTACTCAAAATGTGGTCCCTGGGCCAGCAGATATCATCACCTGGGAGCTTGTTAGAAATAGAGAATCCCAGGCCCCATCCCAGAGGTGAGATGCTGGGCCAGAATCTGCATGTTAGCAGGATGTGTAGATGATTTGTGTGCACACTGAAGCTTGGGAAGCACGGATCTAGAAGATTGGATGTAGATTACTGTTCCTTGGAGTTTAGTCTCCCCTTTCTCTGTGGAGGAGCCTTCCTGGTTCTGTCTGACTTGAATTGATCCCTAGTTTATGTCTGGCTCACTTAGAGACCTGAAGAAGAGTGTTTTAATTGACTAAGAACTGCAGGGTCAAGAAAGGAAGTGGAGGAAGGAACAGAATATGAAAAAATTGTTCTTAATTTGAGGCTTTAACATTTGCCTTGAAACGTGTGATTGAACTTAGTATCTGTAAAGTTTTTGCTTATAAAAGCAGGTGGGTCAACATTTTTCTTACCCAAATCATCAACCACTAGTTATTGGCCATCTTGTTCCATTCATTGGCTCAACTTTTCTGTCCGATTATTTCCTTAGGATAGACATGATTTCCTTTAGGTAAATATGTTAAATGGAGAAGGATAGACATGAGAGAAATGTTTTTATTTCCTTTAAATGGATATTTTCTGCAAAGGAATTAATGATGAAAGACCCTAACTTTTGTTGATGGGGTTTTACTAGCACAGGGTTTTCAGTAGGCCTGGGCCTTCCGTTGGAACATCAACATCTTTTTGGTTTCTTACATTTTATGAGATACCATTTTCCCCCTAGAAAGTTAAAGTTGGAGAAGCTTTGAAGCATTGGTAAGCCTGGGGTTCTGAATTTAAAGTGTTATTCTTAGTGTTTAAGAATACTCTTTATAATAAAAAAGGTAGGATATTGGAATATTTTTGAGGGGGGAATTAAAAAAATTCAACCTTGAGTTTTAGCGTCTCTTTGCCTGTATCCTTGTTACAAAAGCGGCACTTTCCTAGCATGGCATCATCACGTGACCTTTGAGCTTGTTTCCATTCATTCATTTAATTGACTCATCTGAAATTTTTGAGATGAGGAAATGAGCTTTGGATCAGGGATTGAGAGCCAAGGTAAAGGTTTGAGTTCTCTGCTCTGCTGCTGCCTGGCCATGTGGCACGTGCACATCTTGGACCCTGTCATCATCTCTGAATGGAAAGAATTGGACGAGACCCATAATTTTTATGGGGATGGGGGCTCTACGAGCAGGTTGTCTATGGATCAGGATCTTGAATGTGAGGAACATGTTTTATTTGATGATGTATAATACTGTATTCATTGGGAAAATGGAAAAACTTTTTTTTTTTTTTTTAAACAAGTGGCACTTTGTAAAGCACGATATAGTCTTGCTGGTTAACATAGGATGAGAAGTACATGGGACTAACAGTTGGTGGCAAGTAGCAGTTTTTATTGAGTGCAGCATGCCAGGTACTGTTTTGAACTTAAGGTATGCATATGTTCTCATTTAAACTTCACAAACGCCTGGAAGATCAGTACCGTTATCACATGAGCAGATAGGTCAGAAAGGTATAAATTATCTCACTCAGAGTCATCACAAAAAGTATATGGGTAGATCTGGGATCTAAACCAAAACAAGCTTATAACCTTGGCTACGAGGTTTGCTACCTCTGTATTCATAGTCTGATATGAATCAAGATAAATTTTATCTATGCTTTACCTTCTGGAAAAAGAATTTTTAAATGTGTAACTGGTATGAAATTACTCTTCAATCCTTAGGTATAAAAAAAAAATCATGTATTTTCCTCTAAATCCAATTAAAGTTCCATTGCAGAGACTGGTGAGTTGTTCCATATCAATAGTCACTCGGGGATTCCTTCCCCACCCACACAGTTGGGCTAGAAAATCCTGAGGATCTCAAATCCCCGCTTCATCATTGAGATGCTCATTGGCCAAGCATGCATTGCCCATTTTAGAATGGCCACTGTTTGTTCCCTCCATATTTGAATCAGCTGCCATGGTCTCCCTAGGGCTCCCAAGGCCAAACCAAGGTTTTTGGATGTTAGTCCCCAGCTATTCACACGTCTAGTCTTACCCAGAAGTTTTCACCTGCTTCTGCCAGGGAGCTGCAGATACTGTTCCTGGTGCATGTCTAGACATGGGGTGATAATGGACACCTACACACAGGGTGATCCTGGACACACAGCTTCCTGAAGGGAAGTGAAGTATATCTTTCATTCTTTCATCCTTATCCTATGGAGAATTGGTTAATTTCATTCTCCTGCCCAAATTGACAGCAAGACTTAACACGATTGACCTTAAGCAATTTTATTAGCAGCCAATTTGCATTTCTCTCGTTTGCGTGGCTAACCTGAGATAGTGCAAGCAATGAACTGATATTGTCTATGTGACACCGGGTACATGAATTGAATTCTTTAAGCCTCTGTTTCATCTTTTATGAAACGGGAATAATAATGGTTTTTGTTCTACAGAGGGTCCTGGGGGATCAGCTCTGAAAAGACGCTGATTCGGAGAAGGGCAGTGAGACCAGCCAAGCTGGAGGGAAGGGTACAAGCTGGTCGTGTTGTGGCAGCACTGGGGCTGGGAATGCGCGCATGTCATTTGGAGTTCGGACTCTCGTTGTCCTTCTTTCTGGTTGTTTTATTAACTGGAGTTTGTGTTCTGCCTAAGATATACCAAAATCCCTCGGATAATTTCCTGTTTTGCTCTCTTTAGGACCCAAATGACTTTGAGTGGAGCTTCTGGATGGAATGGGGAAAACGGCAGCTGGTGCGGTTTCTGCTGGGCCACGTGGCTGTGTCTCAGGTGGCCGGCGTGCTTGCAAGGAAGGTATGATTATGTGCAGCATTTCCTCTTATGCCTGTTTCTTTGCCTTTTGAGAGGAAAGAGTCCTGAACTGGGAATCAGGAGATGTGGATATTGGCCTTGGGAGCCTGGAAAAGATGAGAAAGAATTGCTAATGATTAATAAGACATTTATGGTAAAGATCTCATACATTCTTATCCTGCTTTTGCTTCCTCCAGGTTATTTTTAAAACCATTGAATATGAAGGTTTTAGAATAAAACTAAGATCATACCTGATCAAATGATTGTATTGAAAAAACACCAATTAGGGGCGCCTGGGTGGCTTGGTCGGTTAAGCGTCTGACTTTGGCTCAGGTCATGATCTCACGGGCCGTGAGTTCGAGCCCCGCGTTGGGCTCTGTGCTGACAGCTCAGAGCCTGGAGCCTGTTTCAGATTCTGTGTCTCCCTCTCTCTCTGCCCCTCCCCTGTTCATGCTCTGTCTCTCTCTGTCTCAAAAATAAATAAACGTTTAAAAAAATTTTTTTTTTTAAAAAAGAAAAAACACCGATTGTTGAGGACAATGTATAAGTTCAGGACAAAGTAGTGAATGATATCACTAAATGAGAATCATTTCAATGTCGAATACTTTATGCCACGGTAGCTGTTGTAGATCAGAATTCCAGTAGTATTTTTTTATTCTTGCCCTGGCTTGGAGTGGAGAACAAGGGCTACTTCAAAGGGGATGTTTGAGAAGTGCTTTCACAGGAGGGAGGATTGAAAGCCTCTTGATGGGTTTAGCTCCCCAGGGATCTCAGACGCTGCCTGGAGGATCTTTCTGTCGCTGAGGGGCCAGGCTTTTGTCCAGCGTCTTCTGATACACGCTTCTTGACTCCGTAGATTCCCCAAGTGAAAAAAAATGAGTCTGTGCTTGGAAATCTACATAGTAAAGATGACCCGACCAAAAACTGACTTGGAAGTCAGCCCACAGGAAACGTTTGATTCTTAGAGGTTCATGGGGGTGAAGAGACAGAAGAAGCAGGAGCCTCTGGGCATGACAGACCACAGTGTGAGGCTAAGGAAAACAGGGTGTCGTGTGGTTACAAACGTGTACCGGACATGGGCTAGTTTTTAGGTCTTTCTTGAAAATCGGTGCTTTTTAGGATCGTGTCTCATCCTGGAAGATAGGAAATTCCAACGACACATTAACTTTGTTTTAAATGTGATACTGATTACTTTTTTGTACCCAAGTGGTTCCCATCTTCTAAAATGGCAAAATCTTCACTGTTATATGCTGCCAGATCTTCATACATTGAAACATTTCATAGAGCTTTCTGAGCAGACCCAATAGTAAATAATAATTTTTTGGGTGTCCCTAAGCTAGTAGCGATTTTAGGTACCTAAGCCCTCATTAATGGGTTTCTTTTCTTCCACAAATTTCTGTTTGGTCTTTTTTTTTTTTTTTTTTTAAGACTTCAAGTTTTCTAGAGATTTAACATTTTTGTGTCTAACTAAAATTTCTCTGCCCACAGACAGATGACTTCTTGCCCCAGGTCTCAGTTTTCCCATCTGTGAAATGAATAGCTGACTACCTGTCACTGTTACTTGTGTGAGGGAAAGACGAAGGATGTCGAGGACGATCTGTGAGATGTGTCCACTCTTGCTACTGCTGCCATGGTTGTGGGTGAACTGCAGTGCAGGAGAAGAGTACGAGATGACGATGATGTGTCGGGTCTTTGGCTTTCTCACTGATTAGGTTTATAACTTTAGGAAAGCTTTTCACGGCAGGATTTTAATTCGTCATTTTGTGTAAGGTAGGGGTGGTAAGAGAGCATTATTATTTTTTTAACCCCCTTAAAAATGAGGAGCTTCATTTGTCATAAATGTCATTAAGAAGTAAGGGTGTAACATGGAGAAAACAGGACAAAGAGAAAGCACAAAAGAAATGGCAGATAAATAGATCAGTAGTCACAATCAATATAAATGGACCCAGTCCCCACCCATACCCCCCAGAAAAAGGTTGTCGGACTGGATAAAAGAAAAACAAATAATGGCTCTCAGTTGGTTAAGCGTCCGGGTCTTGATGTCTGTTCAGGTCATGACCTCACAGTTTGTGAGTTCGAGCCCTGCGTCCAGTTCTGCGCTGATGGCTCGGAGCCTGCTTGGGATTCTGTCTCTCCTTCTCTCTGTCCCTACCCCGCTTGTGTTCTCTCTCTCTCTCTCTCTCTCTCTCTCAAAATAAATACACTTAAAAAAGAAAAACAGAAGTAAGGGAAAATAAAGAAATAGAGTCCTGAGATGTGCTTCTTAGCAAGATGTACTTAAAATGGAAGGACATGGAAAGTTTGGTAGGTAAACAGTTGGGAAAAGACATTCCAAGCAAACCTAAGACTCCCCTGTCCACCCATATACTGGTGTGGTTTTATTAATAACCGGCAAAGAGCATTATTAGTGACAGAGGATTATTGTTTAATGATACAGAGTTAATTCCATTAGGAGGGTGTTACAATTCTAATTTTGTCTGCTTTAAGAGATGTAAAGCAAAAGTTGATCAGTACCATAAAGATAGAAAAGTTTATGGGGCACTTGGGTGGCTCAGTCAGTTAAGTGTCCAGCTCTTGATTTTGGCTCAGTTCATGATCTCATGGTTCCTGAGTTCATGTCGGGCTCCTTGATGACAGCACAGAGCCTGCTTGGGTCTTGCTGTCCTCCCGCCCCCCCCCCCAAAAAAAAAACCTTAAAAAATTTTGATTATAGGGAGAGGTTTTAACATAATTTCATGACTAATATATCATTTAGAAAAACAAGGAAAATATAATTAATGAGCTTGATATAAGAAATATATGTAAATTATTATATCTAACAACTGGAGAATTCACAGAATATTTATAAAATTTAATGACATATAGACCATACATTTCAACACATTTCAAAGTATTTTCAACAAAATGTCAAAGTATCTGTTCTATATAGGTTACTCTCTTTAATCCCAGTGCAATTAAGTTTGGAAACCGGTAACACGAGATGACCTAAAAACTCTAACTCATTTAGAAATTAAAGAAAACATACTTTTAAATAACTTGTAGGTCAAAAAGAGATCATCATACTATAAGTTAGAAAATAGTTAGAAATAAATGAAAAATGCTACATGTATCAAAACTTGTAGGGTGTGGCTAGCATGGTATTTAATTGGAAACCATAATCCTACACATTCCTATTAAGAAGAAAGGCTGAAAAATAATGAGCAAAGTACATACAGTTTAAGAAGTTAACAGAAAAAAGGAAGGAAGAAAACAACAAAAATAAAAGTAGAAATTAATGGTAAGATTGGTCAAGGAAAAAGAAAGTGCACAAATAACCGATATTATGGAAAAGCTGATGAAAAAATATAGTAAGAGGATATATATTTTGCACAACTCTACACCAAAAATCTTGAAAACTTTGGCAAAGCAGACAAATTGCTGGAAATATAACTTACCAAAACTGACTCATGAAGAAATAGACCAGATAGTTACTAAAACCATGAAAAGAAATTTAATCACTAGTCAAATCTATTTAAGAAAATACTAGTAATCAGGGCGCCTGGGTGGCTCAGTCGGTTAAGCGTCCAACTTTGGCTCAGGTCATGATCTCATAGTCTGTGAGTTTGAGCCCCGCGTCGGGCTCTGTGCTGATAGCTCAGAGCCTGGAGCTTGCTTCAGATTCTGTGTCTCCCTGTCTCTCTGCCCCTCCCCCACTCATGCTCTGTCTCTGTCAAAAATAAATAAGAAAATTAAAAAAACACTAGTAATAAACCAATTCTGCCAAACATCCAGACACAAATGACTTAAATCTTAACCAGGCTTTTTCAGAAAAGAGAAAAGGAGGAAATGTATATTTAATGAAGATAGTATAAGATTGGTACCAAAATCAAAGGATATGCCTTACTAGAAATTATGACTTACAAAGATATAATAATTAGGACATTGTTGTATTGGTACCAGGATAGACAAATAGACCAATGGAACAGAATAGAGTTTAGAAAATACCTATGCAAAAATGGAAACTTGATTTATGACAGAATTTGCATTTCATATCTATGTGGAAAAGATGAACTGTTCAGGGGTGCCTGGGTGGGTCAGTTGGTTAAGCGTCTGACTTCAGCTCAGGTCATGATCTCACGGTTTGTGGGTTTGAGCCCCGTGTAGGGCTCTGTGCTGACAGCCCAGAGTCTGGAGCCTGCTTTGGATTCTGTGTCTCCCTATCTCTCTACCCTTCCCCCACTTGTGCTCTGTCTCTCAAAAGTAAATAAATGTTTAAAAAAAAATTTAAAAAATTATTAAAAAAGATGAACTGTTCAGTAAGCAGTGCTGACCTAATTGTTTAGCTATATTAAAAAGAAATGAACACTTAACTCATACGACACATAATCCTTTTCAAGGTAGATTAAGGATTTAAAAAAAAAAGCATATAACTTTTACAAGTGTGATCTAGACTATCTGTTGATATTAGGGTTGAGAAAGATTTCTTTAGACCCAAAAAATACAAAATTGTAAAGGAAAACAATTGATAAGTTTAACTACATTAAAATAAGAACTTCTCAATGTATAATTATGTGTAATCATCAGTGTATAATTAGTGTACATCTTTGGATGTAGCCAAAGACACAACGAAGAAAGTGAAAAGGTAAGTCACTAATAGAGTTGTTTGCAACCTGACAGAGGATTAGTATTTGGAATATATAAAGAAATTTCCTAAGAAAAAGACAAATCACCCAATAGAAAAAAATGGCACAAATGTGAAAAGGAATTTGCAGAAGAGGAAGCATAAATGACCAGTAAACTTAGAACACCTGTTCAACTTTTTTTAGTAATCAAATACATCTTAAAACTGTATCATTTCCTACTTTCCAGCGTAGCAAAGACAAAACAAAAATCCTGATTGTATCAAATAACAGCTACCTGAACTCATACAGAAAGGTTTTGCATATGTATTGGTACAGCTTCTTTGTAATATATTACTTCAAAGAGATGCACAGCCCAAGGCTACTAGTGCTACTTCTGACATA